ATCAAGTAAATGTACAAAATATAAAAGTATGGAGAAAATGTACAAATATACAATATATGCATATTTACGAAACTTAGAAATAAAAATTATTGCGATGTAATTAATATCAACACAATCCCTGGCAATGACACCATTTTGTTGCAGCGGCAAGCAAAAAGTAAGTTATTAATTTATCGGGTGATATTTAGGTTATATCGTATGTGTCCACAGAGATTGATTAGAGGGAAAAAATACCGTTCAATAATTTTAATCCTTCTAAGTTTAGATTGGGTTTGTAGGATAAATGCGGAAAAAGTAAATAAAGAAATAAATAAAGGATAAATAATCACCCATAGTCAAGAGAATTTATTCTGGAATTGCATTTCACTCTACCCGTCAAATACTTAAACTCGCCGATCAATTGCACTCAACCTAAATCACTCGTCAGTACCATCACGTATCGCTCACACTAAGACTATTTCTAACGCAAAGTGAGGCATCACATGTATTGCTCTCGGAAGTGATTTCACGCGCAGCTCAAGCAACCCAGATGCATTTCATAATCGATACTCACATGAATATTAAGCCTAAATCTATGTCTAGAGCTAGAGCTTAATAAATATTCATTCAAGAAAGAGATTCAGAAAGCATATGTCTACGATAAACCAAAACTCTGCGATAAAGAAAAAATCAAGAACAAACACCGGTATTAATTTGTAAAAGATATTTCATACAATCCCATGATCAACAAATGTACATAAAAAAGTAAATATATACATACAAAATCAACCATTGGAATGAAACATAGGGAAGAAGGAGATGAATAGAAAACTTCTCGCGGTGTCAACACGATCCGAGACAACTCGTAGCCAATTGACAAGATGTAGCACCAAATGATGTTGCCTAAACTTCTAAACTATAAAGAATTGGATCAGAGCTCCTCCATGAGGAAAAGTGATGATAAAAACCCTAAAAAATTCTGTTTTAAGCTATTTATACAAATTTAAAGACAAAGCGGGAAATTATTCAAAGCATATTAACAAAAGAACAGATAAGTGCCACAAATTATATATACAAAATAACAACATTTTTGCACTTATGAATTGACAAAAAGAATAAGAACATCAGTTGCAACAAAGAAAATATACTGATTGAACAAAACAATCTTTCAGTTTCAAATGCAAGAACTACTCAAAATCTGTGTACACCACTAACAACTGATATTTCAAATGTATGTAATATTGCTCCTTTTAATAGAGAATAGAGATGAGTCTCGTAATGGAGGTTATAAAAGAGGAATATTTGAAATGCAATCAGGATATAATTTATGTATCCGTTTCAATGAAACACTCCCACCTCAAAACATCCCACAAGTTGTTACTCCACCAATGACCTACAATGCAACTACTACATCTACCATACAACAAGTCTCTATCCAAATACCTATTGATCATTCAACTGCAAATCCACCTTACACGGATGTCTCAGTAAGTTCTAATGATGAGAATTCAAATTCAGATTCTGACCACAGTTTAGCAAATCATTTGGATTCTAATGATTCTGACATATCAGAGCCAGATATTGAATCCCATCTGCAAGGTGCATTACATTGTCCTCTTAACTCTACCTTGTTCTATTTAATACAACTATATGCTAATTCAATGTATGGATACATAAATTCCGATATTGGCAACCCTGTATGGGAGTGTCATCACCGCCGCACATGTAAGTGGTATCAAGAACGTTTAGGAAAATAAAAATGGGTACAACTTCCTAAGTGATGAAGTTTGTTTTTCGGAATTCATTTTTTGGGGAAGACAAAAGACCCGAGAGATAAGTGTTACTGTTGGAACAAAATGGCAAGGTATGAAATGTATTGAAAGTTACTTATGTTAACTTTTCCAATAAATATGAGCCCCTACACTTTGCATTTCTTCTGTTTCTAATTTTATATTTTAATATGTTCACTAACTTACACGGTTAAGTTGTGGAATGTGAAGAGTTGACTTGGTTTTATATAATACTATCAATTTTAATTATTTCATTAATCATTATTTTCGATTTCCATTTAAATTATTTTCATGTGTTATCTTTAATAAATGAGATATTTTTTCTATGTTATATAATTTAATTTTTTTCTTTCTAATTTGTATTAAATATTATTTTTTTGATAACCAAATTTAATACTTTATGATGACCAATATCATTTATAAAACGTTTTTTTCTTCTAATTTATTTATTACTCTTTTTCAATAGCGTAATTACAATCTTTATTTTATAATTCTTTATTTTCTAAAAAAATTTAATAATCTTTTACGTATTTACATTTTTCTCCACATGCGTTAAATACACTATTTTTACAATAGTTGTTTTTTATATTATATTTAATATTAAATTTTAAAAATTATTTTTTATACCATGTAACTATTTTATGAAGAATATAATTTTTTTTTATTTTGATGATGTTTTTAACAAATTTCATATTATCTCTCTGAAGACAATTTCGCGTGCAACACCAATAATTATATGAATGTATGGATATCCATTAGTTTTCATAAAAAGTATTTTATTCTATGTACATATATTTTGGAAAAATGATTAATACAATTGTTTTCAAGGCTAAAATATATTTATTGTGTTGATAAAATAGTGAAACAAGAAGTGATATAATAAAGGGTTCATATCCATTTTAGTCCTGTCATAATAAAAGGTTAATTCCTTCCATGCATTTTGAAGATTATTGTTTTTTTAGACCATGAATGAATTTGGTCCAATAAGAGCGTGAAATGGCATTGACAGCGTGACATTTTTTTACTATTTACTCAAGTAATGGTCTACATGTCATTTAAATATTTATTAATATGATAATTAAATTATTGATTTCTTTTTCTAATTACTAAAATAATTAAGAAGGTTTAGGTAGGTTTAGGAAACTTAGGTTTAGGGAATATGATGAGAATGATTCTAGAATGAGATGACATGGTGTTAGTTACAGGTGCACTAAATGTGACAAATTTGGTCATAATTCAAGAAGATGTCAGAGTAAAGAAAAAAAATCTTATGCAGTAAAGAGAAAGGTTTGTGTATTATTTATTTCTGGTTTTTGTTTAATGTTTTGTGAATACTAAATCATGTATTATGGGTTACTAACTTATGATGATTATATTTTGGTGTCTTAGAGAAAAACACCTAGGTCCAAACCTGCTAAGTGTGAATGGATTAGAAATTATCTAATGAATAAGGTAGTTGTAAACTTAATCAAACTAGACAAATAAAAACATAAGATAATGCATATGCCTAGGAAAAGATTAGACAAGAAGGTACTAATGAGTGGTCAGTGTGTTCCTACGTGGAGTATTAACATGATATGACAAGTAAACTACACATTTGATGGTAATTCATTGTTGATCTTAGAAAAAAAACATGTACATGCTATTTTTGGAAACTTGTGTGCGTTCCATGTAGACATCCATAGCTGCCATGAGTTATCAGAAGTTGGATCCATAAACTTTTGTAGATGACTGCTATAGTAGGGAAACATATAATAAGTGTTACTCATATAATGTGAATCCTACTAATGGAATGGATATGTGGCCTAAGGTTGATGTCGAGGATATGCTTCCACCATAATTTTAAAAAGGTCTAGGTAGGCCTAGGAACCTTAGGTTTAGGGAACATGATGAGAATGATTCGAGAATGAGAAGACATGGTGTTAGTTACAGGTGCACTAAGTGTGACAAATTTGGTCATAATTCAAGAAAATGTCAGAGTAAAGAAAAAAAACCTTATGCATTAAAGAGAAAGGTTTGTGTATTATCTATTTCTGGTTTTTGTTTAATGTTTTGTGAATACTAAATCATGTATTATGGGTTACTAACTTATGATGATTATATTTTGGTGTCTTAGAGAAAAACACCTAGGTCCAAACCTGCTACAACTGAAGTTATTGCTCAGCCTACTAATGCAAATGACCATGTGACTGGACCTGCAAATAAACATGTGATTGGACCTACAAATGAAAATGTGATTGGACCTACAAATGAACATGTGACTGATCCTGCAAATGAACATATAATTGATCCTGCTACAATTGACTATTTTGAGGGTGAAATTGATGCATCAATTGAAGAAATTGTGGCCTCAATAGAAACTGAATACCAAACAACTCAATCATCTTAGTTTGTGAATCCAACACCTGCGAATGAAGTTGTTATTGGTACCAACTCTCCAAAAAAGAAACAAAGAGTGGCCTCCAAGAAGAAATTTGTGTCTACCTAAAAGAAGAAATTTGTTTCATAATGTGCTTAGTTGGAACCTTGTATTGATGTTTGTAATGCACATAATGTGCTTAGTTTCTCTTTTGACTATATTTCACATAATGTACTTATTTTGTTCATTTGACTAATGTACACAATGTGCTTGGTTTGGAAATATTGAATTAGTAATGTTGAATGTAATGCACACAAGGTACTCATTTTGAATTATATATAATGCACAATTGCTACTTAATTTATATGAAATTTAGACTTTGCTTCAAAACTGGTACCGATATTATAGTGCATTTCTTGGTTCCAATTAACATTATAATAAGTTCCTTATAGTGCATATTGATTATAACATAAATTGATTCTTATATTAACATTAACATTATTGAGTTTCTTAGTTTCTTATAATGCCGACTGATTATAACATTAACATTATACCAGACTGATATAGACAAAGCATTATAGAAAGCATTTTAGATATTAAAAAACATTTATAGAAAGCATTTCATCTCATTCATAATAAGATATTACAAAGCATTTCTTTGATCTCATTACAAGGCATTCTACATGGTTACAAGGCATTCTACCTAATATATAACATTATAGCGAAAAATATCCAAGATATAACTAGAATGTAAGTGAGTGCATTAATGATCTTTAACTTTAGTTTCTCAATTTTCTTGTTGTTAATTGCCTTCCCAAAATCATGACCGAACTCTTTGCCAAACTCAACTCCATATTTCCTCATATCCACTTTCATGTTTTCACATTTATAGCAACCTCCATCGGACCTAGATTCAACTTGTTTTCCATTAAAGAGTTCGTCATCCCGGTGAAATAGATGACAACCATCATTGTTCTGGAAAAATAATTAAGAAGATAAAGAATTAACAACTTAGAAAACAACGAAATAGAAAAGACGTATGAATGAAGGACATGGAGAAATTTTAACAAACCCCCAGAGTTTGCACTTCCAATATCTTCTTCCTGGGTTTGCACTTGATCTCGAAACATGGATTCTCATTGGAAGCTCGTTCCCACAAATTAGAGCTTTTCTCCCACTAGACATGGCACTTGAACTCACGCTTTCAACTATTGTCTACTCAATGGAGGTACAAACTGAAGAAAATGAACCTTAACTGCGAGGCGAACACGAAACACGATCTCAAGAATCTGAAGCTGGGGATTGAAATGATTTAAAAATGACCTAAGTTTAAACTTTTAATTGTTTTAGTAATTAGAAAAAGAAATTAATAATTTAAATATCCTATTAATAAGTATTTAAATGACATGTGGACCATTACTTAAGTGAATAGTGAAAAAAATGTCACGCTGTCAATGCCACATCACCCTCTTACTTCCAAATTCACTCAAGGTCTAAAAAAAGGGAATCTTCAAAATGTAGGGATGAAATGTGTTTTTTACATGATTTTTTTTCAAAATCTCACAATATTGCAGGGGCGGAAATATGTACTAACCTATAATAAATAAGTGTTAGTGAGAAAAAATTCATTAAGATTTTAAAGTGACACTTATTTTAAAATAGAAAAATATTACAAATGAATTTTTCTTAGTTTAAATAGTCTTTTGGACCCTGTAAGTTGGTGTGCTTTTTATTTTTGTACTTGTATCTTATTTTTCTTGGAAATGATCTCTAAATGTTAAAATCTTTTTTATTTTAGTCCATAAAATTAAAATTTGCAGAAAAATTCGAAGGAAAATCTACAGAAAACCTGCAAATTTTAACTTTAAGGACTAAAATAAAAAGATATTTAACATTCATGGATCATTTCCAAGAAAAATAAGATATATGGACGGAAAAAAAAACACGCCAACTTACATGGACCAAAAGACTATTTAATCCAATTTTCTTTTTATGAATCTCTATCATAATTTTTATTTTATTTTACACGGACTTTTTATTTTTAGTAATTAAGTTAATATTTGCGCAATTTTAAAAAATATAGTTGCACTTTTTTTATTAATTTGAGAAAATTTAAAAAAAAAACAAGAATGACTTTTTTTAAATAGTGTGAAAGGTTTTATTTTTAAGGCATATATAAGAGATTTATACTTGTGGCAAGTATAATACATGGTGCTTGTCTACAATGAGAAACTCAAGATGATCTTTTTTATTTATTTTGATATGTGAAAAAGTGAATGAATCTCCCAACTACACGACTAGAGCATTTTTAAAATTGATTCCCTATTTAGGTGGTTATTACGAGGACCAATTCAACCTCATAATGACACCATGAACTCAGCAACACGACCATGAACTCGGCCATGCAACCCTAGCCTTAACAAGCTATTGCGAGGGAGAAGAGATAATCATCCTCCACAATAAGAGATCTAATTAACCTCATAATGAATTGAATTATTTCCCTAATACATGAGCTAACACATTCTACCATGATCCATACCTCAGAAACATTTGGCCAGGCGAGAATGAGTATTAGGTCAGGGTCGGTTCATGTTCTCGCCACCCTACCCCTCTCGTTTCCCCCATAAGACCATCCATGTTGTATGTGGATCATATGATAAATGTGTCGAATTCTCTAAGGCTCATATGTGATATTCCCGTTCACATCCTTTTAAGCATGAAACCTAGAAGGGCAATGAAATTAAGGAAAAATATATCAATTCATAACTCATCAAACACGAGGCCAAGAAGGGTGATGCTATTAATGTATATTGTCCTAATCCATAACTAATTCAATACGAGTCATGTAAAAGTGAGTCCTTTAAGCACTAGGCCTAGAAGGATGAGTTTATTTTATTGAGTTTATCTAGCTCTAAGTGACATGCCTTTGTTCGCTGAGCAACAAAAGCAATTTTTATAATTATTGTATCCATAAAGACTGATGGTTTCAAAGAACATTCAATAGTTTTTAAGTTTCTAAGCAGAGAAAAGTTTTACATTTTTTTGATGCATGAAAATAAATGACAGAAAGTAAAATGGAGATTTCAGTGTTAAAAGTAAGAAAGCTTGCTAGGAGTATACTTCGTAATTACGTATTTATCATGCATGTCCATAGGTAAGTAATACAGTGATGTATTAAGTTATTAATATTACCACTTGTTGCTCTCATTCGTATCTCTTTTTGGTCTCCGTGCAGTCAGATCCATGCGTTATCTTATAGCTGATATCTCGGTCTATTAACCAATGCAGAACATTAAGTTTCAATGGTTATAAAGTAGCAATACTCGACACCAATTCCACTATAGTATGCGCAAATTTTGAAACTAACCATATCTCTAGGCATTAGTATCCAATAGATGATTATATCAGATCTACTAATGATAAGAACCTTTCGAATGCCAAGTCATACCATAAAAAAGTTGTAGGTAGAAAATCTAAAATACACATTAAGATTAAAGAGTCATCAATATTAAAGATTTAGTAGGATTACATAAAAATCCATGACCTATTTAATACATGAATATAATAACCATATCTAACCCATAACAAAGGTATTTTTAGTAACTCTTATCCATCGTAGCCGTTGGTAGTCGTGTGAAGCTAATCTTGGAAGTTTATCTACCCTATCACTTAATCCATGAAGTACTTGCACCTGGACATACCACATGTCGATCTTCTTGCGCCTAGCAGACATATGGTTAGGCCTATCGAGCCTTGATATTTAGGGTTTTACTCAAAATTGGTTTTTCCAAGTTGAATTGTAGTTTTCCAGTCCTTTTTACCCGTGTTTAGTTAATAAATACTAGGAAAGTCCAAACATGAGTCTTCTCACCCTTTATTGATAAATTGAGTGTTTTTTTATATTGATTGCTTGTAAAATAAGTTAATAAATGCCTATGTATTTTACATAAATTTAGAACTTATCAACTCTCTCAAACTTATCTTTTTGTTTATTCTCAAACAAAATCAATTACGTGGTTTAGAATCTTTTGAATGCATATTTCATTGACAGGGTTGACCGACTTATGTCAAGAATTTTGAAATTTATTTTTATGGCATGATATTCTTTCAAATGCAAATTCTTAATCAATATCATGACTATCCATAAATCATAACATAAAAATGAATCATTTGCTTGTCCAAAATAAGATTTTTTTAAAACATGTATAGATTAACAATTGTTCATTCAAAAGGATCATGATCTCTTTGAGTATCTCTCAATGGTTTGTGTTTCCCTAAAAAAATTAGACACTGCTTGAACTATATAAACTCTTTGCGTTTCATCTAAATTGTATCACAAGATATATCATCAGTCATGTATCACTAAGGTCTTTCTTTAGGTTATAACGTGGTTGGGCTTACAAAATATATTGATTTTTCTTTGGATTTTAAAAGCCTAAAGATAAGAGAGCATAAGTTATTTCTTTTCAAAAATTTCTCTTTCTTTATTTCCGCTTTCTTAAAACCTTTTTCTTTTGGTGCCTTTTTCTTTTGTATACTTGAATTTTGATTTTTGACTTGTTTTCGTCAAATCATTTTCTTTTTCTTTCATTACAACAATATTACTTGAGTTTTCTTTTTCAAAACATGTCCTTTTTTCCAACTTTAATTTTTGCAATACCCTTGCTTTTACATGATCTCATATCCTTAAGATAAGGTAGTGAATATTGTTTTTCTTTTAAATCGACTAAGGGTTGTAGTGTTGAAAGAATACATTTTTCCTTGTACGACTCAAAGAGGTTTGTCAAAGGATTCACACATTCACAAGGTAGGCTTTTTAGGCCTAATAATTTCTCACTCAATAACAAACAATGTCTTAATTATATCCATGACTTTCAAACATATCAAGTAATAACAAGATTGGTGCACAATCTATATAGTTATCATGTATGTATACTCTCAATATTTAAGAAAAACATGAGATTGCAAACTTTTCACTTGGGTAGGATTATGATTCATGACTTATATCAATGTGTTTTCTCTAGATAGTAGAAAAATTAAACTTTGAATAAAGCAAAGAATTCCTAATCGTGTTATATTTCACAGATAGTCACATATTAATCATGAATGAAAGATTTAAAGACAATAAAACATTTTTCATGTCATTTGTTCTTTGACTTTTTGTTGTCAACCAATCGTCTGTGGTTCCATGCATTTTGACTGTTCAAACCATCGTTTGAGCAATCTACAGACAAACTTCCTATGGCAGTAATTTTTTCAATTTTTTTATAGAAATTTACAATTAATCATGAAAACAATTAAAATTAAACATGTATAGGTTATTAGCTTTGATCATGTTTACATTCTATCCCATGCAGAAAACATTTGTCTTTACTCAAGCAACAAAATAAAGAGTGGAATATGGATGACTTCGCTTAGCCCCATGATCCTCCCTTAGACAACTTGTGCATCTGCGTTAAGCGCATTCGGTGGCTCGCCTAGCGAGCCCTCACATCAATACATAAAACATGTTGTACCTATGTCTTTTATAATACCAAGATTCCATAGATTGATGTAGCAGATATTCAGATAAAGTGTTTTGAGTGTGAATGGTGTTTAGTTATTGGAATACAAGAAAATAATAGAAATCCTACAAACACATATGAAATTCTGGCTATCAGATCACGAATGTCCTACGAGACGTCGAGATACTGGATCCGACTTCACACACAATAACAAGATGTATAGACAAAAATAACAGTGCTAAAAGTAAATAACACAACATATATTTACCTAGTTCAAAACAAATTTCCTACTCTGGGGGCTACCAAGTCAGGGACAAAATCAACTAGATAGTATCAATTTTATGACCTTACAACAAACCTCCAGTTTACAATTTACACACTTAATCACTACCATTTACTTAAACTCTACCTAAGACACACCTAGGTATGAGGCCCTCCTCAAATATATCTTTAATTAAACTCAACAATTGGAGAAAAATCTAAACACAAGTAGAGAACTAAAACCAACCGGAAGCTATACTTCCAAAACACGCAGGACTGAATGCTTAAAAGCTTATGAGAATTGACACACAATATGTTTAATGCTTAAAAGCTTATGAACATCTAAAAAGATAACTTATAATCCAACAAAATAGTCCTACTCTTATATCAATATGATATTAGAGAGGCTCACAAAATAAG